TAATTGAACTAAATCAAAGTACTTATCTAGTTTTTGGTATTAGCATCCAATCGATTAAAAGTCCAGTTCCAGTCTCCCGGTAAGTCTCAAACACGAACAAGATTGCTATCACTTTAAAACTACAAAATCCTGCAAATATTCCAGAACACCAAAAAAACACGTCCACCTTCACTAACTTTCACTTGGTATCATTGTGTGCTGGTGTGTGTGTGTGTGTGACACACATACGCCTATGAATTTACATCACGGTGTTTTTAATAGACATAAAAGTGTAAAGAAAATATTATATTATTTAATTTAAATAAATTTGTCTAAACAAATGTCAAAAATGTTCATAAATAAATGTTGTTGTTGCACTTGCCTTGATTTGGTTTTATTTACAGTGCATGCCAAAGTTTGGATTAATAAAGCGAAATTGATTACAGTAAATATGAATGACTTGATGTGCTTTGAGAATTTACTACAATGAAAAATAGACAGTAGCATAATGAAATTGTATAAAACATGAATATTACTTATTTTTAAACACATCAATGATTATTTAAACATTTTTATCTATATACATAGAGTATATGATAATGAATATGTGAACTTAGTGTTAGACAAGGCTAGGTCGTATTGTTGATACTCGCGCCCAAATTAGCGCTGGATCTCACTTGCATAGCTGTAAACGTTGATATAAATAAAAAATCCGAAAAATGTACCAATAGATATTCATAGAACAACGAAGCGATCCGATTTTGGTAACATATTTTTTTAGAGATTTAAGGGGTTATATGGGTTTCCTCTTGTAAAGCCTTTTTTTTAACAATTTTTTGCTCATATAAAAGATGAAAGATTTTATTAGATACACTCTTAACAAAAAAATTCTGAAATGTTTTGAAAAAATAAATGTTTTAAACTGGGGCATTGCGACGCCATTTTCGATGACTTCTTGGAAAAAAGATGCGTTGGCAGTTACTCCAATCGACTTGAAAATTAAGGAGAATATTCTAGAGGTGTTGTAGAACTTAATAAAACAGTAAAAAAAATTGGAAATCATTGAAATCAGCAAACCTTTTAATATCAATCCCAGCCAATTCGCTAGGTCCCTCAGAAGCATATCTATCTAGATATATCGGTTTAAACAAGCTGGGCAGTAAAGGAGAAAGTGTCTAGATGATTTCAGAGGGTGTGGGATAATAGTTTCTAATCGGTTGAAATTTGATGAAGCATACCCTCTTTAGCCTCCTAATTTTCAGCGATGCCGGTGTGACCGTGCACCTCAAGAATTTTAATACGGCAGAAGTTTAATAGCTGAATCCGTGAGTATGGGGCTAGTCTATTTGACATTATAGAATGAAGTTGGACTTTGGAGCTGTTTGCCTTCATTTGAAAGGTACTACAGTAGTCTTGTATCATAAAGCTAGGGTCGATGGAGCGCTTCTAACAGAAGATGTTTCCTACTCTCCCTCCCTCTTATTTTCTATATATGCTGCTCCTACTGTCCGGAGTATTACATAGAGTATTGGCCGTCTATGCAGCGCAATATTTCCCCCTTTATTTGCTTTAGTACGGGTTCTTTTTTCGTTAAACTTCATAGCTCTGCTTAGAGATTATTGTGCAGATGATTCGTAGGCATTCCCTGATTATAGCCTGAGGCCTCTCCGTGATTGAGTTGTAGAGTCATTGTTTCTTGAGCCATGTTTTCCATGCAACTGCGTCAACTTCACGCTTGTGATGAATATTTCGAGTTTAGTGCTACTGGCGAATGAGTTATAGACCAGGCATGTTTCGCTTCCATGAAAAAACATTGAGTTCACGCATGTGATGAATGTTCAGAGCTTAGTACTTCTGGAGATTTGTTAACTTGCCCTACCAATAGCAGCCGTTCAAATGCCGATCTTGCTTGGTTCATTCTACAATTGACAACCGTTCTTTCCTCAACTGCATAGGGCATACTGTTTTGTCGTATACCTACCAGTAGAAATGATGCAACCTTTTAGCAAGACTCTTATTAGTAGTAACACCGTAACATTATGGGGGTTTATAAAATTGTGAGTGTGTGTCAACTTAAAATATGACAATAAATTTAAGGAATTATTCCATAAATCACCGAATTCACCAAATTTGCTCCCAGCGACTAATTACTCTTTTCAGGACCCAACTGAGAGCTTCGAAATTGCACAATATCGAAATGTTGGAAATAAGTGCATTATTCTTGAAGGATTTTATTGTGAGAAATATGGCTATATTTTTCTCCTTAATTGTTTGGTCAAACAATTTCTTACTCATGCATATGTATTTAGTACTATATGTAGACTATATGATACATACAATTTATGTTTATTATCCTGCGATAAGTTTACATTTTATATTTATTTCAATTAATTTTATTCTTATATATAACCATTATAATATATATTAATCTTACTTTCAATTTCAGATCGGTGTGGTTATGTATCTACTTTATCTTAAATTGGGCATAAGCGCTATCATTGGCTCATTTGTTTGTATTCTGACGATGACACCGCTGCAATTTCTCATTGGGCGTGCCATGTCCTTCAATACGGATAAAGTTGCGGTATGTGTTACGTTATAAGATTTTTGAAAAGTTCAGTTCCTACTTAGAACATAATTAAACTACTATTCAACTGTTTGATGATTTGGATTGAAGTTTTGACAGATCTTCTATGTGATTGTGCTTAACCTGGTTCTAAGTTTGATCTGTAAAATCAGTTTAACTATGCCGGAACTCTCAGAGATCGAATTCTTTTTATATATTATAAATTATCTTTAAAATTCTGTAATGGTAAATAACCAAAAATTATGGTCACATTTGCCTCTGCCGTAGAAATATTTATATGAGAACTTTCGAGATCTTAGTTATGCTTTCGAAAGCTTTGATTATTATGGAGTATTGTAAAAATATCCTGAGGATGCCTAAACTTAATTCGAAAATTTAAAAAATGTAGTTTGGTTTCAAAGTACCAAAAATTTTTTTTAAATAATTTAAATTTTTAAACTGCCTTTTAAACGCCTCCAACTAAAATTTTCTTTTTTATAGGAATGCGCCGACCAACGTCTTAGAATAATACACGATGTATTAATGGGTATCAAAGCCATTAAATTTAATGTTTGGACCGAGTCATTTGTGCATCGCATTGATGAGAAGCGTAAAATGGAACTGAAATATCTCGGCTGGGATTCTTTCTACTTTACTTTGATGAGTAAGTACGCGGAAATTTTATAAAATTATATTAGATATGCTAATAAATATACTTTCTACTCTTCCAGCCATACTCACACATATCTCAAGCGTTCTTATTAGCTACGTCACGTTGGCTGCATATGTGGCGCTCGAAGGTGACGAGGCCGAATTCACCGCCAGTCGTTTATTCTCCGCTTTGGCGCTATTTCAGCAACTGACAGTGCCACTACTTATATTCCCCATAACCGTGCCCATTATTTTATCTGCTGTTGTGTCCACAAAACGCCTCGAACGCTTTTTCAGCGCGCGCGAAATACACAAACAATTCGAGGGCATACGTCACATGGCTCGCATACTGAGCAAAAGTGATGCTTCGCTGGACTTCTACGAAGTACAAGGCAAATCCATAAATGACCTAACGATAAGTGAAAGCGGCAGCGGCGATAGTGGCTTGGGTTTGGTTGGCGATAAGCATCGCGTTCAACGTGAGAATAAATTGAATGAACGCCTGGCGCTGAAGCTGCATATACCGGAGAGTCCTGCACCGTTGGCGCACTCGGAACCACAAACACCGCTCACAACAAACGATCCATCAATAGTCGATAAACATTTGCTAACGCCACGCCGCAACAGTGAGGAGCATTTGCTTGGTAGCGCAGTGGGCCGTAAGTTGAGTCAACAGCGTCGCGATTTATTGCGCAATAGTCCTTATGTAGTAATACGACCGCGCAAGTTTCCCGGTGGCGCGACAGCGCAGCCGCATGCACAACTCACGCCAGCACAGCAGTTGGCGCATAAACGCATGGATTCATGGAGTCGCGACTCGTTGGTGCTCAAGTTGCCGGAAGATATGGCGGTGTCGGTGCGTGATGCTTGCTTCGCTTGGAATCCGCAATATCCGGAGTTGCGTCTATTGACTCTACGCAATGTGACAGTGCCGCGTAGCAAACTCACCATAGTGGTAGGTAAAAATGGCAGCGGCAAGACATCGCTACTGTCAGCTTTGCTTATGGAAATGCCGCTGCTGCGTGGCGATATCATCTGGAATAAGTGAGTATATGCTGTTCTGCCTGTAAATATATGTAGTATGTATGTGAAGGTGACAATATACTCGTATACAGTCAAACTGTCAAAAGAACAAGCTTTTCACATATTTACATAACTACAAATCTTCGTTACCGCCTTCAAAATGGGAAGTGCTTCAATAGATTGGTGAGTGGGAAGAATCCGTTGGAGGAGAGGGCAGGGAGTGAGGGTTTACTCTTAGGAGCTCTATATCTTCCAAGCCGAAGTTCCAGCTAAGAAGGTAACAGCATATACTTGCCTTGAAGTCGTTCAGGGTTGGTCGAGGAGTGCCTAACCTATATCAATAGCATTTTTGTTCCTTTGTGATAAGACTGGGAGCCAGGCCATAGCGGGATCGCAGGAAATTGCAAGACTGAAGAGCTGGCAATGAAAAGCATCAAACCGCTATCGGTAGAGCGAGTCGATACCCCGTATCCTCTTGTGATCTACTACTAGATAGTTTGGCCAGCGCTGGCCCACCATCGGTACGTGGGCAAACGTCTTTTGGCCCAAGATCGATCGCAACAGATCTAGTGATCTCTTTGCCGTCAGTAAGTCTAGTATCTCCCCAGTTGTGGAGCTTTTAATAGTCCATTGCTCTATTGACGTCTATGCTATAATGTTAGGAATCTTACTCGGCGCTATCTGCAGACGCTTTATGGAAACCTATTTTGAAGCTAATAATGAAGATTTGAAATTTATTTAATAATCATATTAACTTAATTTTGCATAACCCGAACAGGGTGAACATTTGTAACATTCAAAAGGAAATGTCGCCTATACAGCCTGGCCGGACTTTTGTATGGAAATTCGTGAAAATGACAAATCTGTTCCAATGTTATAGTCTTTGAATTATATACTCTACATTCTTTCTTCTTCTCTGAATAAGTCTCAGACCGCTGGCATGGTTAGTAAGTACGAAACATGTTACTTATACGTCATGGCGAATAAGGTATGGCGTTTTCTAGTTTGTAAACAAATTATATTTCTGTGATTGTGTGCACGATTACCGCCCAAAATCTCATAATCATTATTAAATCCAATATTTAATGCCTTATTCCAAACCGTAATCCTTCTTCGAGAGTCAATGGCGAACTTTGAGTGCATATCTGATATTATTAGTTAGTTTTCAAAGCTCATTTTAAGGCGGTACACAAGCCAACGTATTGATACCTAAAATCTTTAAAATCTCCTCTTGATTCCCTTTCTAATAATCAAAATTATGGCAATTAGTATTCAGAGCAAATGTTACTCATACGTCATGGTGCGCCAAGCTTACAGGTGTTTGTTTCAATTCCTAGCAATGTATAGACTGAAGTATTATAAACTTTTGTGACATTCTAAGCAGCTCATATGAAAATTCTTCGCTGGAAGTAAGACAGTGACATAGATGTACAAGTATATAAAAGTATATATTTTCGACTTTTGAAAAAAATTGAGAATTTATATGTATGCGATTTTATTTACATTAGTACGTCAAATGGAATTTTACGAATCTTAAATATAAAAACATAGAAGTTGCAAAGTTGTGTTGGTAGCCTTTGTTCCTTTGTTTGTGTATAAAGATACTTAAATACTGAGGCTGCCGTCAGCTGTTTGGTATTATAATTCTTTAATTTTTTTTGCTTAGGTTTTATTTTTGAATTCATTGCATTTCACATATTGCAATAATATTTAGGTATATATTTCTTTTAATTTAAATTTATTGTGATTTTATATTCACTTCCAAGTTAAAAGCGATTTTTTTCGAGCATTTTTTTGAAGCGCCATTTAATTTAATAAGTAAAAAAAAAATAATATAAATTTAGGATATTTAAGGTATTTTACTAATCGTTGACTAATTTAAAAAAATGGAAATATCTTTGTCTCGAAACCGTTACAGAAAAGGACCTTTGAAAAAAGTGTTTGGTATTAAGTGTTAAGGAAGTTTGTGTGCTTAAAAATATCAAAAATTAAAAAACTAAAAAAAGAAATATTACGATAGATGAATGAACTAATTGTTAGTCGAAATATTGAAATTTGACACAGTATTTACACTTTAGTATTTTTCAAAAAATAGATTTTTGTACGAAGAATCTTATTCCTTCCATCATTACTTAAAAAACATATCTAAAAAGGTCGAATATATGTAAAACTTAATTAAAAATTATAATTTTTAACAAAATATTCTTTTCCAAGAAAAAGATATTTTTGTTGAAAAAAATTTACACTACAGGGTGGTCCAAAAATTGATTTTAGTACGAAAAATATTATTCCTTCCATCATTACGTACCAAACATATCTTAAAAGCTGTTTAAAACTTTTACGTCGATCGGATTAACTGTTTGGGAGAACTTTTCCTCATCGGCTACGAAAACAGTGTTTCGAGAGAAATTCGTTGCGAAAATATATAAATTCAATACATAGACAATATTCAATATTCGGTTATAGCTCCTTAAAGCAAGCAATGTATACAAATATTGGTTGTCGAAAAAGTCTTTTCGTATTTCCAATTACACTTCAACTTATTTTTTTATATTTAAAATGTTAAATGAAGCTTAAAATCTCACCTTTCAAACACTATATGGTAAGACACAATGTGATCGGAGATATATGTATGATTATAACGACATCTATTGACAAAAGAAGAAAAGATTTTTTAGACGACCCAATATTATATAAGTTTAAAGTAAATTATTTATAAAAGATCAACATTTTAGTACACGCACATTTAAATTTTTTTTATAAACCAGCGTATGGAAATTTAATTTTCTCTTGACATAAAATTTAACCGTCAACTTTAAATAGATATCCATGACAACTCAATTTTTTTCCACAGCACGTGACTAACTACAGTTTCCTTTTCTTTATGCATTCATGTGGCTTGTAGCAAAGCTAGTATATTCACATGCAAAAAAAGGATATAAATGTCCATAAGTTTGTGTGCAACGTAATAATAAATTCTCACCAATGTGGCAATTTATAATAGCAATTGAAATTATTGCATATGCGTGAATTCCAATTGCACCAATACACATGCACATGCACCCATATGTGAGCAACTGCCGTTATGGCTCATATAACACTATTCCACAGCACACAACTACACACATACACACAGATCTGCGTGTTTTTACATACATGAAATTGCATTTATAATGCAGCAGCACCACTTTAGCACCGAGAGTACATTTGTAGGTTTGCGCATAACTGTGATTCCAACGCTGCGCACATCAGCTGCAGTCGCAGATTTCGTATAGACCCATAAACATTGATTTTCTCACTTTTTTTGCGCATTTTTTTGTGTTTTTTTTGCATTATCTACTTTTGTTGCGCTATTTCGCAAGCCATGGCTTGTGGGGAGACACACACATTCACATCTCATTTACACATTACACCCATCAAACTGCCCCTTTGTCTGGCCGCCTGTCTGCATTTCTCAGCAAACGATTCACTGACTTTTACCTCCTCAACTACTGCCCCCGTTTTTTGCATCGTCTTACAAGTTTTCTTTCGCTTTACCTCTACTTCGTTGCCGCTAGCCTTGCTTACAATCCCTGCTTTATCAAGCATGCCACAGTTTTTCACTGCGATCTTTAGTGCCTGAAATCTTTGCTGCATTTCGATGCAATAAAATTAACATACAAACATTTGTTATAAATTGCAATGACGTGCTGTGCATGGAAATGGCCGCACAAATATGTTGAACGACTGCTGCATTTCATTGCGTTTTCATGCGAGTATGCGCCACAGCCACGGCGCTGCTTAAAGAATCATATATGTACATACATAGCAAGTGGTCAATCTGCGCATAGTTGTGTGTGCGTGTGTGCATGTGTGAGTGATGGGATAATGTGATTTAAAAAATTACAATAACATTTAATGCGAATATTGAGTACTTTAGTGGTGCGACAGCGCGTATGAGTAACGTGCATGAGCTGACATGAGGCACTTCGTTGCGAAGCAAATACATATACTTACAGACATTTATGCTTGTAGACATATGTTTATGTGCAGAGCTGTATACTTACTGCATATACTTAATATTACAACAACAATTTCACCTTAAATAAAATGTAAATAAAAGTGAACAATACTGTGTGTGTAGTTTTTGCGAAATCCTTAGACATTGCGACTTAGATATTTTTCTTCGTCAAAAAAATTTTATTTTTATAACGGTTGTATGTATCACCCATAGATATAGGGTTATATACATATATATAAATGATCAGGATGACGAAATAAGGGTGACTGTATGTCCGTCCATGCAAGCTGTAACTTGAGTAAAACTTTAGGTGTCTTAATGAAATTTGTTAGACGTGTTCCTTTGCAAAAAAGTAAGGACGAGTTTTGAAAAAGTGGGCGTGGCCCCGACCTCTAATAGGTTTAATGTATCAATCAACATAAATTCCATAGACCACTAAAGTTACAATAGTCAAATTCACTCAAGACAAATCACTTAAGCATTGTAATAATGGATGAATTCTGAAAATAGCCCCGTCCACTCTCTATATAACGGTGCTGTTAAAAACTATTAAAAGTTCGTTAAGCCTATAACCAAAAACCTCAGAGACATTAAATTTTACCACCGAGATGGTATTTGATGGCATTATATGTGCCGTGGTTAAAATTGCTCAACGGTCCACTTTTTGGTGAAATCGCATATTTCGGGATCTGTTCGACCAATTTTAATCAAATTTGGTACGTGCCATTCTTCTAACACTTATGTGTCATAGTGCGAAATCGGTCCACAACCATGCCTATTCCCCATATAGTACATTCCATTTGATTATTTCTTTCCCTAAATATCGAATATGTGCACCCTAAAACTAGAACTCTGAAAGAATAATTTCATGATAACAGTGTTAATGTGTATCAATAAGGAATAGAATCGCGTTAATACCTTCTTGAGCTCTCATATACCTAATATAGGCATATTCGAACTTCCAGGTGATTTTATACCACATATATTAGCCAATATGTGAAGTGTCTCCATGAAAATGAGACTGCGTTACTCATAACACTTTATCTTTGTGCCAACTATTTCACAAGGATTTAAAAGTTATGGGAGAAAGGTATTAAGACTGATTGGATCGTTCCATTATCGCAGAAAACTTTAAAGGAAAGGCTTATAAAGAATATTTAATTGGGATATAACATACATTTTTGACATTTATATCTCTGTTTACTCCAGTAGGGTAACTTTTTTCAAAAGTATTTTTTTGACAGATCGCGGGTGAGTCGCGTCAAGCTGTCATGTTATTTTTATTCAGTATTGATTGGCGTTTCATCATGGAAAAACTTACGCCTGAACAACGTTTCCAAATCGTTCAACTTCATGTTCTGTAAAGAATGTGTTTCGCTAACTATTCCCAACACCATCACTCATCTTGAAATTTAGCACTCATTATTGATCATCAAGAAGATTCGATGGTTTCGAGCCGAAGCCTGTTCAGAGATGAGGCCCATTTCTGGCACAATGGGTATGCTAAAAAGCAAAATTGCCGGGAATTTGAGGGGAAGAGCAACTTGAAGAGATTAAAGAGCTGCCATTTTATCCACAAAAAATAACGTATTGTGTAACTGTCAATGGCGACCATCATCACACCACGATAACCGACTATTTGATGACTGAAATTGAATTTGGTTTCAACAAGACGGCTGTGCAGTTTTATGTAATGTAAAATGAAAATAAATATTTAAAAATAAACATGATCAAATCTTACAAACTACTAACAAGCATCAGTAGTTCTGTCCAGCAGTCCATAGTCTCATAAATTGTGAGTACAAAATGTATCAGAAACCGATTTTAAATCAAGGCCAACAAAAGCACTAGAGACCAGTGTTATATTTTCTTCCACATTTAATAAAAATAATTAATTATTTGACATTTAAGAAGCAATAATAGTATTACTCATCGGTCCTAAGTGAGTTATGTTAGTTTAAGTTCTTACCAATATTTCAAATATTTTTCTTGATAACAAAAGTAATATCATTCTTTAATCTGTAAAATCGACTACCAACCGTTAAAATTAATTATTATATATATTTAAATTGCTACATCAACAATGTATGTATGATATGTAGCATCATAACTACCTTATATGTCATCCAAAATGTATAATAGTGGCAACTCTATTTCCGTTTGCAACAAAATTCAGTTCAGTGCAATAAATTTAACGCTCAAATCGACTTTGCGCTCAAACGTTGCAACACCGCAAAAGTAACTTACGTAATATAATTAAAACTGTTATATGTACTATTACTTTTGTACATATGTATATATACACGCAGTATGTTAGCGCTGGCAACTAAGTTGTAAGGTGCTTATGTCTTCTAAGTAAAATTTATATTTCCTACAATTCACCAAATTCGATACTCAATATAAGGGCTTGTACATGCGTAACAACACTACATGCTTACAGTTATCGCGAAAGTCATTTATTTTGCTGGTAAGCAATAACAACAAACACATAAATAAGGGCAGTCTCTGGTGCGTTGGGACACCGAAATGGTATAAAGTGTTGTATTTTTGAGGGAGGCAAGGATATCGAAAAGAAAATTCTATACTTTAAGTTACCCTTCACTGTACTTATTAATTTCACTTCGTATATTTAAAAACAGGACTCAAGATAAATTCATAAAGAGTTAAATAACGCCTAAGCAGAGTACATTAAGTTTTTCATGAATTTTTAACATCCGGAATTAGAGTGTCTCCGCCTAAAGTATATAAATAATCAGTGTAACGAGCTAAGTCGATTTAGCTATACTATATAGTCCCTCATATGTAAAAATATTCATCCGAAATTTAGTACACATCCTTTCGGAGCTTCTTATTTGTCGAAACTGAGAATATCGGGCCATTATAGAATATAGCTGTCATACAAATTGATCGATCAAAATAAAGTTCTTATATGGAGAAGTATTTATTTGACAAGATATCTTTATGAAATTTTTGCACGAAGTATTGTCCAAAGCAGCGGTGCTATCTCCAAATAAATTGTTGGGATCGGGCCTTCATAGCACATAGCTGCCATACAAACCGATTGCTGAAAATCAAACCCTTGTATATATACTTTTTTATTCGACAAGATATCTACATGAAATTTGGCATGGATTAATATCCTTGTCAATGCTAAAATCTACAAAGAAATCGTTGAGATCCAATCATTATAGGATATAGCTGCCATAGAAACTGGTCGTTTAAAATCTAATCCTTGTATAGAAAACTTGTTTTTTTGACAAGATATCTTCACGAAATTTGACATGAATTATTATTTAGGATAGCATTTAGCTGCCATACAAACTGATCGATAAAAATAAAGTTTTTCTAAAGAAGCCTTTTTTATTTTACAAACTATTAGCAGCGTTAGCAAAAAATTAAAGTTTCTTTAACAAAAAATTCAATATAAAATTGTATTAACCAAGTAACATTTATTTTCATTCCTTTCATCTGACTACAAAGCGCATTATATAAGCAAGCTTTTAAATGTTGCCTGTGAAGTCCTTGAAAGTTTCGTTTTTGCCTTTCAATCAATAATTAGTCACCCATTGTAACTTGCATATACCTTTCAACTAGCTGCTTGCTAACATATGTCAATACTGCGCTACTAAATTACATAGTCGCAGTTGAAAAATTCACTTGTGTATTCGGGAGTTTTTAGTTACTCATACGTCATGGCGGACAATGTCATACCAATTACATATACGCCGAACTGTGGCTATTTTGTCCAGAGCTATACAGAAATAAGCACTGATTGTCTATGCTGCTGTGCACTAACTTATAGTATTAGTGAAAATACACACACTTATGCATACATATGTAGTTATAGGACGCACATTAGTAAATATGAATTTTCCCAGAACATTGAATGTTATTAGAGAATTTACATAACAATATGAATGTGCCAAGCATTATTGTCACGCACATCAGCCAAACTCGACTCGAACTGCATGGAAACGTTTCTAATAATATTCAAATGACATACAATACAATGGAAATTTGCCTTTTTGTCTAGCCAAGTTTAGAGCATTGAAGGTAAGCTAAGGCATTGCAGGCAGTTAGATAGATGTCAGAGCGCATATGTGTTGATGGCTACACAAATGTAAATATGCTTGTGTGCATATTTCAGTGTATTGTAATTATACATATATATGTACATTTGTATATATTCTACATTGATTCTTATGAGACTGAGTTAGCCACATGTGTGTTCATATATGTGTTTGTACCTGACCCAGTTGCAACTCAACCACAGCGAGCAGCACAAGTTGGCTTCAAGTTTATATTGAAAATGAAAATTGAATTAAAGTGAAAGAAATTCAATTGAAAACGTCAGACTGGTTTACGGACATTTGCAATTACATTCGGCTATTATTTTAATAATTTTGTTTTGTCTTTCAATTCTATTATAACATAGCCGCACATGTGCGTTATAAATATCACTTTTATGCAACAAATTTATTTTTAACTCGCACATTATCTTATTTTTATATTTAAAATATATTTATGTTTTATTTTCATTTATCTGTGGCATCGAAAGGACCTCGACAATTGCTTTTGTACCGCAGCAACCCTGGCTACTCAACGCTAATATACGTGAGAATATTTTATTTGGCGAATCATTTCGTCCGCGGCGTTATGATTTCGTACTGGAGGCGTGTGCATTGAAACCGGATATTGAGTTGATGCCGGATGCGGATTTTACGGTGATTGGTGAGCGTGGCATTAATTTGTCGGGCGGTCAGCGACAGCGCATAGCCATTGCACGCGCACTTTACTCATCGGCCAATGTGGTGATAATGGTGAGTGCAATAATACAAAAAAAAAAAAAAAAAAATAAAAAAAAATATATAAAAATAAAAACAGTGGCAAAAGCGAACATTGCTATGTCTGTTCGTTATGGTAATAGCACACAGCGCGGGCGGCTAGGAAGCAGGTTAAATTGGATTGTCTGGTTAAATGGATTGTATGCGATTTTAAAAAATGTGGATGATGTAAATGTTGTGAGGTTGATGCGCATAATTAAAGCTGAATTGCTGTGAGGTGAGGCACTTTATGCGGTGTGTAGGAGGGGAATTTCATGATAATTTTAATGGGATATTTTTCTATTTTTATTTTACTTCAACTATACAGAGAAAAGTGCTTCTCATTCACTGTTAGCATTATAAGCTATAATTAAACAATTTGCTAAGCATTCTTTAGATCTAGGATAATAGAAAGAAGATCTATAAAGCGTTGGAAGTAACTTTTCTTAATAAATGAATAAATATTTTGTAGTTCACACCGTGACTCAGTTTTTGAAAGAGGTCAAATGGCTTTCTTTTGTATGAATTTACAATATTTTCTTTTAAATAGAGCAATAGTGTAAGATTTAGACTGCATAGATTCGCAATGAGAAAAGCTAAGAAAGTGGTAGAAGTGATCATTTATATACAGGGTTTGCTCGAAAAGCCGCGAATGTATTTTGGGGCATGCGCGTACCGACTGGATTCAGTAGACGGCGTTCCTAGCTAACGAACGAGCGATGGGGAGTCAGGACAAACATTTTCGTGCGACGTGTTTTTGCGAGTGGAGCAAGCTGAAAATGCAGCGTTCGGTAGAGCAGAGGTGCACAATTAAATTCTGTGTGAAACTCGGTGAATTACGTGAAATTTTACGTGGACGTCCTCAAGAGACTTAAATGAAGGGTCAATCGGTTCCGACAAGACATCGCAGCCGATTGGAAGTTACACCACAACAACGCCCCGGCTCACACCGCCTTTCTTGTGAACAGCTACCTAATCAGGACCGGCATCACAACGCTTCCGCAGTCGCCCTATAGCCCAGATGCGGCTCCCACGGGCTTTTTTGTTTCCTTGCCTGAAAAGGCCGATGAAAAGCAAGCATTTTTAGACGACAGAGGGGATCCGAGCAGCATGCACCTTTGCTATCAAGGCTATTCCCCTGACGCCTTCAATGCTTGGAAATTGAGCTGGAAATGCTGTATCGATGCAGAAGGAGCTCATTTTGAAAGTTTGTAAAGAATTGTAACGATTGGTTCAATCAATTTTTTTAAACCGACTCGGTCCTTTTACTTTTCAGACAAACGCTGTATAGTCAAGATGCATTGTTGAGGTTAAGAAAGTTTCCAAGAAAGGCTAAGAAAGAGGTTATACATACAAGCTGGGTTCCAAAGTAAACAGGACTTTTCGAATCTAGCTATATCTCTATACGTCGCCTGGTGTATTAGAATCTGCTATCTTTATTGAGAGATGAGTGAGATTTTCGTGACATTTCATTGATTGGAAGTGAAATTATTGCGTTTTAAGTGTCAGTATGTTTGTGTTATCGGTGCGAAAATGAGCTTCGAACAAAGATCCAATATAAAATTTTGTTTTAAAATTGGTAAAACTTTTACGGAAACGTCTCATTTGATGAAACAAGTTTATGCTATCTCGTAGCAGAGTGCTTGAGTGGTTTCAACGTTTTCAAACTGGCTCATAAATGACGATCAACATGTGGGCCAATTAAAATCCGTGATCACCGAAAATTCCATCGAAACTGTGCGTGAATTCATCAAAAATCAGCCGAAATCGTCATTGAAATTCATGGAAATAGAATTGAACATCTCCAAAACATCGATTTATTGCATTTCGACCGAATATTTGGACTTAAGAAAGATGTGTGCACGGTTTTTTCCAAAAAAAAAAAAAAAGACTGACGACCAAAAATTGTTCAGAATCCAACATTTGAAGGACGAATATTTGACCAAAAATCACATTTTAAGCATAAACCAATCCCTGTATTCACCTGATATGGCATCGTGAGACTTCTTCCTTTTCGGAAAAATGCTTTTGGCCATGAAAGGAAAGCGTTATGGAGGCATAAGGGCCATTCAAAAGGCTTGCACCGGCATACTTGCCACCATATCGGCCGACGGGCTGAACAATTCGTTCGACATGGTTTTTGACCGAACAAAAAGCTGTATTGAAGCAGAAGGAGACTACTTTGAATAAAATAAATTGATTTTGCCGAAAAAAACCCTTTGTTCTATTTTTTTAAGATTTTTTTTATTTCCATATCATGCAATTCGAGGCAAAAATATTCGGTTATCATTGAAATGAAGCGATTCCTCTTCATAGTAACGTGCCGGTCTTGATAATCAGAGAAGAAGTACAGCCCAATGATTTCGCCGTCCCATAAACCGCACCCAAACGTAATTGTTTTTGGATGCAATGGTGATTGCGTCAATTTAATCTTGTAATCAAATCCAAAATCTTTTCTCAAACTTTGCCATAAAGACGTCACAATGATGCCCAAAGCTTGAGAACGACGAGTGAAAGACTGATTTGGGTCTTCCTCAGTTGATGCGCTAGCGCTCTTAATTACCGAATTCCGGTAGTAAATTTTAATAATTTGGTCTAATTGTTCGATCGTATATCTTTCCATGATAAATGATAAGCTTTACTGAAGAGAATAGTTAAAGCAACAGAGAAAAATATGGCGTCGTTCATAAAGGCAAACTAAATATAGAGCTCTCAGCTGCGTTCTCAAGCATCTCTTTTGTGTGCAACGCTGTTTTTTGCAAAAGAGTCATGTCTTTTTATACGAATCTAGCTTTGGCATGTTTCATATCAAAAATATTTACCAAAATGTATCGAGTTGATCCATAAGAGATGTTGAAATCAACAAATTTAAAGACGCTGTTACTTTAAGGCTTTCAATGTTATCGCCTTTAAAAGAAACGGAAGGACGAATCGCATGAGGCAAAAAAGCATCTTTAATAGTTTGAACGTCCCTAGCTGTGATTTCATTCGTAACATAAAATTTCAAGCAAATTTGTTGTTCAATATATTGTTCATGGCGATATTCGCCAGCCAAACCTTTCGCCAATCCAGTTGTAATCATATGCGTATAATTGACGTATGGAGATTGAACTTCACATTATTCTCTTCTCATATCTATTGTCAATAATCTAATGAGTCTGACACAACCACTGATTCTGAAACTGGCTGAATAACCTTTTCAGTTTCCCGCTCGTGACATTGATGCGCTAATTACGTTTGAAAAATGCTCAAAAATATGCTATCAGGTGATGTGTTAGCTTCTCTTTCCCGCACAAACTATCTAACTAAAAATATATGATTTGGTGAAAAAAATTCACCATCGAATTTCATAGTTGGTTGTGGAATGAAAAACAAAACTGTTAAATTTTACCACATTTTTATGCGGGTTGAATTTATACTAAGCTATAAAAAATGTGGATGTTGTAAATGCTGAGGAAATTTGTTTGTGTCTGTTGACAATGTTGCATTATTTTTCATAGATAAAAGTGCAAATATATTCTAGTATATTATATACATATCTACCTTCAAAATTATATAGGTATATACGTCAATCTATTTTAAATAATCTTAAAGCTTATTCATAGCACTTTAATTCGATATGTATATATTTTATAAGTTATATATATCAGCTATATTATACTATATATATATAGTATATAAGATATATTATAGTGGTAGTCTGTCCACAAGAAATTATATACTCCTATCTATATATTTTGACTTTGATGATTATTGACGTGTGCAATCAGAAAAGGTCGCTTCATTGGCAAAATAACAAGCAAAATATTTGAAATGTTAACTGTCACTGGAGTGTTTTACATTGTTTTTATCTACCAGGCATTTATATAGAAATACACACGCATATACCAATATCTACTCATAACTAATTTATGCATATACACATACACATATTTTCCTCCTTTGCGCAACGTTTAGTCGCTATTTTATTCTATTTCTAGGCCATTTTTATTTAATAAATTTTTTATTATTAATTTTCGTTTGCCCTCCTACAGGATGATCCGTTCTCCTCGCTGGACAATGAGGTGGCACGTCATATTTTCGAACAAAGCGTACAGCGTATGTTGCTCAAGGCAAAGCGAACTGTAATATTGGTGACACAACAGTTGCAACTGACGCGGCATGCGGATTATGTAAGTGATAAAAATAAATGAAAAAGTCGCAAGAGTCGCAAATAAAAGAAGTGGCATATTAAGAGCACTAGAAAAAACCAAAAAAAAAAAAAAAAAAAATTAAACCCAGCTGTGTATGAAACGGGTTTTTGATTGAGTTTAATTTAAAGCAATTTGTGAAGTTTCGCAAATAAATGACAGTTGGATAAAAATGTATGTCTGGGGATAAGAGATCATGGCTCGAACTACGATTTATTGTTTTCTACAATCATATCATACAAGTTTATTTGGAAAATTAATAGTAAATGACAAGTACTTCAGCCTAATCAAAATGATTATTAAGAATTAAAAAATACTAAATTAATAAATACAACTTAGTCGCTTCGTTAGAAATCTCGTTTGAAATTCGTGTTGAATCTCTTATTACGGGTATTTTCAAAGATTTGGCGCAAGGTGAAAATCTGGTCAACTGTTGTCGTCAATTGTGGCCTGAAGCTACACTGATAAGATCGATATTGACGGTGGGCTTTAACCTTTCACACAATACGCTCGATAGAACCTTATATGCGATGTTGAGGAAGCTTATCCCACAGTGGTTAGCGGAGGTTGTGTGATCTCTCTTTTTGGTGATTGGACGTAGCACACTTACATTTCAATCACTAGGCATGCTTTCGTCCGACCATATTCTACAAAGAGCTAATGCCTGCTCCTTGTCAGTTCTTCGCCGCCGTATTTGAGTAGTTCGGCTGGCAATCAATCAGACTCGCCGCTTTGTTGTTTTTAAAGTGGATATTCGTTATTCAAACTGCTTCATGGTCGGGCGATGGAACGTTTGCTCCATCATGATCGATTGAAGAATCGGGTTCACCATCTCCTCTTATTATACCTTCACTGCCATCAGGCAGTCTGGAGAAGGGTTCCCTGCATATTTTCAATATGCTCTAAGTATCAGCGTATGCATGAGGGTACAAATTAGCGTATTTGTTGTTGTTGTAACGAGAAATTTCGCAAGTGAGCTTCTTGCCAAAAATAGTATGAAATCTAACCCAAAAACAATCAGACTTATGTTAGATTATATTTAGACATAAACTACCGAAATAGATCGCTCTTAGAATAAACTTTTTCTTTATTTGTGACCTCGAAACGAAATTTCTTAGAAAATTTCTAATATCTTCGAATTTCAACTATTATTGCTTTAATTTTGCTTAGTTGCTTAGTATTTCCATTAGAACGATTTTCATTTGTATTTTCTGCCATTTTTCTTTAACTTCTCTCAAATTCTTTGCATGCTTTTTGCAATCAAATTAAATTAAATGGAATTTCCGACATTTTGTGGTACTGCTTCTAAATGCTGACTGTTGCCGATGACATTGCTGCTGTCACCATTGACCAATTCAACAATTCACAGCTAATTGTCATGAAGAATGGCCAATTGCTGGCCACAGGCGGTTACAAGGAAATCGAATTGAAATATCCACATATTGTTGCCAAATGGCAAACAATTATTGCAAAAGTGAATGAGCAGACGGATGACGATGATCGGTGAGTAATAAAATTGAACTTTGGATATGCGTATGTATGTATGTATATATTCATATATAAAATTAGAATATAAGGAATAAAATTTAAGTGTTTTCATTACATTTATATCAACAATGACATAAAAGTCAAGGACTCCCAAAGTGTAGAAAAATTGTTTTATTTTCCATTTGCATTACGTTTAAAGATAACTATAAAATAACTATAGCGATTCGCACACACGCATACACATATACATATAATAGGTTGTTAAAAAAGTCTTGCGGTATTTTTATTGAATTTTCAATTATTCAGAACATTTTTTTTGATGACTCATGCCCAGCTCTTGACCGATGCTACGGCTGCTCCTATGCCGGTCTTTTTCGACCAATTCCACGATTTTATCGCAATTTTCGACGACAGGACTTCCGGAGCGTGGCGCATCTTTGACCACCTCTACACCAGAACGAAAACGTTGAAACCATCATTGTGCGGTGGAAATGGAAACTGTACCGGGTCCATAAACTGCACAAATTTTATTGAGCTTGAGATGCATTTTTGCCTTTATCGTAGTAGTACTGTAAAATATGCCGTATTTTATCTTTATTTTGCTCCATGTTTGCGACGCTATAACTCACAAACGACTTAAAAGAAACGACAATCAATTAAACAAGTATTAGCGCGTGAAACGAGCTTTCCAAAAAGGTATAGCATGACCCGATGCGGCGAATAAAACTAGAACTACGCGCTCTCAGCGACAACTAGCGAAAATACCGCAAGACTTTTTTGACAACCTAATATGTACATATATCCAACTTTGGTCAGCACTTCTAACTGAAAGAAAACACTTTCCAAATTCTAACTTTTGCACAAAGTGAATTTTTGATGAATTTCTCGTCAGCAGCAGCTTCATTACACTTCTTGTTTTCTTTGCATAATTTTTGGCACAGCAATATGGCCGCCGCTGGAAGGACAGCGTGTGAACGTTGGAAATTATACCAAAATGTTACGAAATTAGGCCTGCAGCGCACCAAGTCCACCAAAGTTATGGCAGCGAAAACAAAAGTAAAAGCCAAAGCGATAGCTATAGGAAAACCGAAAACAATTTGTAGCGACTCACGCGAAATCGTTATGAATATAGAAGAGGGTGTTGTTGGCGATGTTCGTGCTAATGGTGATACAATTGTTGAGTTGCTTGATGGTGAAGTTAGTGAGCAAGCGAACGTTGTCAATGATGTCGGTGTTGTTGCTGGTGATAGCAATGGCAAAGAGCTTGATGAAGTGGACGCTGTGGAGGAGGAAGATGAGGATGACGAGGGGAGTGAAGAGGATGATGATGACGATGAAGAGGACGATTTAATGACAGTGGTGAGTTCATAAGATATTAAGAGCAATTATTTCATAGCTGAGTATTCTGGTAGACGTGAGGCCAAACATATGTATGTATACATATGTACAATATATATAAACACACTGATACATATTTATACATATGTATGAATGTTTAATACATAAATATTCCCATAATTCATATATAAATATACATATGTATATACAGCACATATGTAATTAGAAAAAATAAGTTACAAAAGTTAAGTTATGTTCAGTTAAGATAAGTTGAGTTAAGTTAAGTTAAGTTAAGTTGAGTTAAGTTAAGTCAAGTTAAGTTAAGTTAAGTTTAGTCAAGTTAAGTTGAGTTAACCTGAGTTATGTTAAGTCAAGATAAGTTATGCTAAGTTAAGTTAAATTAAGTTAAGTTAAGTTAAGTTAAGTTAAGTTA